ATAATTCTATATATATATCTATTTCTAATCAATAATAATCTACAGATCTGTTACTCTGTTGAACTGTGTTATGTCTACAGATACTTGATCTTCTACATGTAAAGTTGATTTACCATGACCTTAACTATGAAGATACATCATGTATTGAGATATTTTGAAACGGAATCTGTATTATTTCTGTTTCTGTATTACAAGAAATGACCAGGGTTCCTACACATTTTCCATTTCAAAATTCCACATCTTTCCAGACTTCTAGCTAGATATTTATTATTACTAGGTAGTCTATAAATTAGGTAGGGATGGTTTCCGTAGGCTGAAAATATATTTCCTTAACAACTACATCAATGCACAAGTGATATATGTATATGCAATTTAAAGATACTGCCGCATTGTCTTTCAAACTAATTTGGTCATGGGTGTCCGCTTTGGTTTATAGGGTACTTAGGGCAGAGCTGTGTTGCAGGCTCTGACATACTGGCATAGAAACAGCTCTGTCTGTCTGAAGGTTGGACCGTCCTATGCGCTCACTACGCAGGGGCATGCAAACTGAAGAAGATCCTAGCTCACTCTACTGTCAGTGTTTGATAAGAGGAGAAAGAGGGACTTTTTGTCAGGTAAAGGCCTGATGGCACTCATTATTTTAAAACAATTGGAGTATCTGTCTCTCAGTCAAGGGTTAGTTACAAAATAGAAAGCAATTGATTCACATTGACTATGTAAATGTTGATGAGCGGGGCAGACTGGGCAATATGGATGCACATAGTACTGCACATTCAGCCAAGTCATAGATTGAATAGTATTTTACATTTGAAAATATATGAAAGTAAACATGGGGGAACCAGTTTGAATGGGCTGTGCTTAGGTCTGTCAGTAGAGTAGATGCCAGCCAGTACAAGCACAGAATCCAACCCTTTAGCCAGTAGCCTACAAGCATCCAGTATCAGCCAGTACTAGTCGAGACCCAGTACAGACGTCTTTAGCAAGTCACACAGACCCGGGTCAAATACAGGCAGCCTCAGTCAGTACGTGCACAGCCAGAGATGTACAGCCAGCTCAGACCCTAATGGAACAGCTGCTTCTCCACCAGATTGGACCCCAGACTTAACAGGCTTTATAAGGTGGAGTATGCAGAGTTCCATTCAAACCAGCATTGGATTTTTCTTTCCCCAAAGACAAGGTTAAGCTTTCCATTTAGGCATATTAAAGAGACAGATTGTTTTAAACGAGGGAGGATTGTATTGAGAGCACTGTGGTATCAGGTGTGACTGTGTAGCAATGGCAACTTGTTTACATGGCTCACAGTCAGGTAGGAGGGCCAGGACAGCTCTGGGCTCCAGCAACATCTGATACTAAGCCTAACACCTAGAAAATAGAAAAAGTCTGGTAGAGGCACGTGTGGCATATCAGTGAAGGGTTGAGTGAAGATGATGCCGGAGACCTAACGCATATTCCTTGATGCTGTCTGATAGAAAGGCTATATCCAGAAGGAAAGAGAGTGACCATTCCTTCTGCAGCCTGTGTGTCATTATTGCAAGTACATGTTGATTTTATTGTGAAATATGGAGGCTTACATAGCTAAAGTGTAATGTTAACTACCACGTTAATATGACGTAGGCCTAGCCTAATTTTGTTTTCAGGAGTGTAGGCCACATTTCAGGTTCGAGACTGGAGTCCAGTTCGTTTTGAGCAAAATTGTATATGAAACAGATAATAGTTCTAATGCTGCCTGCAGAGGTGGTGTAACAACGTAACAATGCTTCAAATATAAATAATGTTTTTCAATTAAACACTCTTCAACCAAGATCGGCACAGAAAAATAACGTTTAATGTGGTTAAAACAGGAAAGTCAGAAAATCGATATGCATTGATGAATTAATAAATTAGTTTTTTGTTTTTTCTTACAGTATATGTTGTCCACGGCTACTCTGTCTAAAAAAGATTCACCTTCAGTGTTTGAAATCCCTGTAGCATCTGAAGGCAGTAGGACTGATGTGTTGATAAATTCGCGGTCTCCGGGAAGTGCCGCACCAGAGCCCAGTGCCATTACGCACGGCCGTTGGATATTGAGGACTCGGGATTTTATTTGAAGACCAGTCAAGACCATAACTTTGGGAATATCAATAAATTGCTTTTGCATTTGTTAACATCCTAACTTTGATTGGAAGTAAAACTCATTGCTTCAAATGCAATCAATAACCCTAATTAAACGACTGTCACCCCTTCCCGCGATGCTTACATTGATTTCAGCTCTTAGTGTTTGTATGTGGGTGATTTAATGGGAAAGTGGATCTTTCAGATCACTTTGAGAAGTACCTATGATCTCGTTCCACATGTTATTTCGTGCCATGCAATGCAGGGAACTGGTCTTGGTCTTGACTACACCACTAAGTACATATTACACAATAAAATTTATTTAAATAATGACACACAGGCTGCTGAACGATCAATCTCTTTCTCTCTCTCTGTGGACAAATATAGCCTTCCTAGGAGACTGCATGAAGGGATTAGTGTTAGGTGTCCCGGCATAGTGCTTCAATCAACCTTGTACTGATAAGCCACACGTGCCTCTGAATGAAACTAGAAATGTTAGGTGTAATGTCATTCGTTGCTTGATAGTGCAGAGTACTTGTTTACTGTATAAGGTTTGGATCGTACCACGCCATACTGACCTACAGTGGGTACGGAAAGTATTCAGACCCCTTTAAATTTTTCACTTTGTTTCATTGCAGCCATTTTCCAAAAAGTTCATTTTATTTCTCAGTAATGTACACTCAGCACCCCATCTTGACAGAAAAAAAACCAAACAGAAATGTAGACATTTTTGCAAATTTATTAAAAAAGAAAAACTGAAATATCACATGGTCATAAGTATTCAGACCCTTTGCTCAGTATTTAGTAGAAGCACCCTTTTGATCTAATACAGCCATGAGTCGTTTTGGGAAAGATGCAACAAGTTTTTCACATCTGGATTTGGGTATCCTCTGCCATTCCTCCTTGCAGATCCTCTCCAGTTCTGTCAGGTTGGATGGTAAACGTTGGTGGACAGCCATTTTCAGGTCTCTCCAGAGACGCTCAATTGGGTTTAAGTCAGGGCTCTGGCTGGGCCATTCAAGAACAGCCACGGAGTTGTTGTGAAGCCACTCCGTTATTTTAGCGGTGTGCTTAGGGTCATTGTCTTGTTGGAAGGTAAACCTCCGGCCCAGTCTGAGGTCCAGAGCACTCGAAAAGGTTTTCGTCCAGGATATCCCTGTACTTGGCCGCATTCATCTTTCCCTCGATTGCAACCAGTCGTCCTGTCCCTGCAGCTGAAAAACACCCCCACAGCATGATGCTGCCACCACCATGCTTCACTGTTGAGACTGTATTGGACAGGTGATGAGCAGTGCCTGGTTTTCTCCACACATACCGCTTTGAATTAAGGCCAAAAAGTTCTATCTTGGTCTCATCAGACCAGAGGATCTTATTTATCACCATCTTGGAGTCCTTCAGGTGTTTTTTAGCAAACTCCATGCGGGCTTTCATGTGTCTTGCACTGAGGAGAGGCTTCCGTCGGGCCACTCTGCCATAAAGCCCCGACTGGTGGATTGCTGCAGTGATGGTTGACTTACTACAACTTTCTCCCATCTCCCGACTGCATCTCTGGAGCTCAGCCACAGTGACCTTTGGGTTCTTCTTTACCTCTCTCACCAAGGCTCTTCTCCCCCGATAGCTCAGTTTGGCCGGACGGCCAGCTCTAGGAAGGGTTCTGGTCGTCCCAAACGTCTTCCATTTGAGGATTATGGAGGCCACTGTGCTCTTAGGAACCTTAAGTGCAGCAGAAATTTTTTTGTAACCTTGGCCAGATCTGTGCCTTGCCACAATTCTGTCTCTGAGCTCTTCAGGCAGTTCCTTTGACCTCATGATTCTCATTTGCTCTGACATGCACTGTGAGCTGTAAGGTCTTATATAGACAGGTGTGTGGCTTTCCTAATCAAGTCCAATCAGTATAATCAAACACAGCTGGACTCAAATGAAGGTGTAGAACCATCTCAAGGATGATCAGAAGAAATAGACAGCACCTGAGTTAAATATGAGTGTCACGGCAAAGGGTCTGAATACTTATGACCATGTGATATTTCAGTTTTTCTTTTTTAATAAATTTGCAAAAGATTTCTACATTTCTGTTTTTTTCTGTCAAGATGGGGTGCTGAGTGTACATTACTGAGAAATAAAATGAACTTTTTTGATTTTTGGAAAATGGCTGCAATGAAACAAAGAGTGAAAAATTTAAAGGGGTCTGAATACTTTCCGTACCCACTGTACTTCTTGTCTGGCTTTCTCGCCCTGGCCCACGCGGTGGTAAACATTTTGGCTGCGCTGGCTTCCTGCTCCAAACGCCATGAAACACACTCTGCTTGTATCATCAATTTATTTTTAGGAAATTTGAAATGTCTATTTTAGAAAAGAGAATAGGGGAAATGGTCTGTAAACACATTTTTTCCATACTTATCCAGACTTTGAAAATACAAATCAAATTGCATACTTCTTCATACTATGAAGGAATCCTAATAGACAATGTTCCTGAACTCCTGCATAATGAGCTAAAGGTGGTTGGTACTTCTTTGATGATATTAATGATTAAAAGTTACAAACACTTAACTTAAAAAAAAAAGAGAAAGCAAGATTATGAAAAAATAACATTCCGTTATTGTGGGCTTGAGTGTTCAATTGCCTCAGTGCTTTGTCTGAATTTCCATAGATAATGGCTTGTAAAAATAGTTTTAAGGTATCTAAGTACAGTCTACGTCAGCCCACAGATTAGCCACACCAGACCTTTGCAAACCACTCATCTTGTTAACTTCTGAGCCAACGTCCTCACTTGTTAAACATGAACAAATAACCCACTGTCCTCTTTTGACCCAGCCTGCCTCAGTCACACTCACGCCCAGTACTTAAGTTTCTTCCTAAAGCAGTTGTTGGCATTTAATAGATTCAGGAAACACAAAGAAATGTCAAAATGCTCTTGCTATCACAATATTAAGTTACCTTTAATGGAAAACTATGCAATATTTTAAGTGTAATTACACAAATGCAATACAGTATGAAAAAAGTGGAAGGGAGAGGCCGTACAGTAGTGTAGTAATGCACCAAGTTCAAATATCGTGCACATATCTGGATTACTAAATGACAACGAAACACTTTATTTCCTGAATGACATATTGTATTTAACTTTTTGGATACGCATGGACAGCCCTCAAAAATAGGGGGTGGAGTAGTTGTTTTAAATTGTGCTCTTCCAAGCATATGTTGGGTCTAAGAGGAGGAGTTGGGAGCTTCAGCAGCGATATCCACTGTGTGGTGAAGCACAAGGTGATCCCATCCTACGGTTGTGAGAGTGTTGGAGCCACTGTGGAGCCAACTCACACCTTTGACAAAGTCCTGGTGTTGTCGATCTCTAAGTCTACAGAAGAAGAACACATGGTTGGTGTTTTTTATTTTATATAATTGTACAGGCAATAGACCAGGTTTTTTGGTATGAGGAGCAAAGACTCACATTTCACGGAGTTCAGAGTTCAGAACAACGAGGGAACAATCATCACTTGTGGAGGCCAGCATGGAGGCACTGGGATTAAAAAAAAAGTTTGAGTTTTGTAGAGGAGCAATGTAAGGGCGAATGACACTGCTAGGATTTGTGTTTACCTATGTGTAGAGAAGGCGAGCCCGTTAACTCTGCGGTTGTGGACGTTCTCCACCTTGGGCGGCTCTGTTCCCAGGAAATCCTTCACACTCACTCTGCCCAGCTCATCACCTGAAGTGCAACAAGCATGATCAGAAACACAGGAACTAACAATTTAATGTCTCTGCCAATCAATAATCTGCTGCCTTACCAAAAGCAATGGTGCTTCTGTGGTGGGGGTGCCAAGCTACAGTGGTAGGGGCGCAGATGGGAGACTCTACATCTGAGACAAAAGACAGCAATGGCATCATTAAAAAAAATCATATCTTGACAAGATGTAATACCAATTAAATTGCCTATAGAGACTATTGGATTCAGGGTCAACAGTCACGGGATTGAGCTTTGTTAAATGAGCCAAACAAACAGCCACTAGGCAGCTGCTCAGACACTTATCTGAACATAATGAATTCCATTACCCGTCAACCACCCGGGAAAAAAATCTGATCCTGGTTGTTTAAGTGGGGAAATGTTACTCACCTATTCTAGAGGCTGGTTTGTTTGGCTTTCTCCTGTCCCACATCAGCACACGGCCATCCTGAGGAATGGAGGATTACAACAGTGTGAATAAAGACAAGTACAGTCTTAGAGTTACCATCTTTATTACTGCTGAACTATCTGTTTATACACGGCATGTATTGTTGGAAATCAGTTCATTCTTAACATGCACATTTATGCAGCAAGGTGCTCTAAAATCTAGTTCAATCAGTTACTGTATGTAGGGTGTTGTCTTTACAACCATTCATGTAAAATGTTAATCAGTAACTTACTTGACCACAGGAGATAAAAAGAGACTCTTCTGTAGGACTGCAGGCAACACAATTGACTGGCTGTGTGTGCACTAGAGGAAGAGAAAAGTTAAAGAAACATTTGGTTTTAATGTACTGCTGACATTCTTAAAATACAACAAATTATTATATACACATATATTATATACAGAAATATACACTGTGCTTTCTTAAGAAATCACCAGATTCTCTTCATTTAAGTACAGCAGTTTATGAAAAAATTAAAAATGCAAAAAAAGACGTCACAATTTTAGCAAATGATTTGAAAAATTTGAGTTCTGCACCAACAGAGAATCATTTGTTCTTTGGCACATTGCTTAACTAAACCAAAGCAAATTTATTTAAATCCGTTTAAAGCTTTTTAAGACATTGTGCAAACAAACAGGGAACACATGAATGAGGGCAAACAATCTCGTGATTTACAAAGACCTGATTTATCTTTCTACTCAACTTTAGCAGAAAGACCTTGTGGCAAACAGAAACTCCATAAAACCAAAAATAAATATTAATTGATCTTTAAAAAAATATATCAATACTTCCCATTACTATTTACTAGATATTTTGAGGTGTTCCCTTACCATTGTAGGTAGTGACAACCATCTGCTGACTGAGATCCCAAATTTTAATTCTGTAGTTTAGAAAGGGGAATAGATGAGAAAGGGGGGGTGAGTGACAAAAACATATTGCCAAAGTTTAAAACAGTCAACATGCTTCTATTCTGCTGTGAAACTTCAGGCAACTGTGTGTGTATCCACATAAAATATAGTTCTAACCGACAGTCCATGCTGCCGGTGACAGCACTGCTTGCTCCAGTAACTGGGCTCACTGTGGTGACAATGTGGTCATGCTCGTGTTTGGTGAAGCGATTCACCAGCAGACGCTCGTCCTCTGCCAATTCCCAGAGCTCCAAGGCACCTGCACACCAACCAGTCAAACAAACCCCAGTTTAACATTCAAGTCTCATGAGCATGCTCGATTCTGAATTGCTACAAATCTGCTTCTTACCTGAGTCTGATGCAACAACAACACCCTTTTCTGATACCCATTTGACATCTGTGACTCCAGACTCAGTCTGCACACCAGCTTTGCAGAGCTCCTCATTGGGGGCCTGTGCAGGGTCACTGTAGACCCACACAGATCCCTGCCAGCTCCTGCCACTGAGACTGGAGGCACCGAGCAGCAGAGTGCCATCTGTGAGGAGAGCCAATATAAATTAAAATAAAAATATTAACTATATCTTAATCCTATTTTGACAGACCAAACTAAATTGTTAGGAGCAGTCTTCAATTCGGCTGTTAGCTCATTGTTAAAGGTAATTTCAATTGACATTTCTGTCACCTGAAGCAAATTCAAGAACATAGCCTAGCTGGGATGCTCAGCATGTGCCCAACTTTAATAAACTACATGCTATTAATTTAATATTTTGGCGGACTGTATATGAGCCGAAAGTAGTCAGAACGCATTATCACAGATGTAGACAGACTCGGACTAATAATAACCAAACAGCTGCACCACGTGTTTACCTGCGTAACCTTCAGCTAGCTCGCCTTGTTACCTACCTGCTCTATACTGCACCGAGCACAGATGCTTCTCCATGCATGCTGGAGCATTGGGGGGTATATTCCATCGGTTCTCCTTGATCATGCTAGTATCTACTGCACTCTTCATTCAGATAACGCACTAGAACTTTACAGGGGGACTTTACAAACGACTTCAGCGCGATTTCTAAGTGAGCTCGCTAGCGTTAATGTTTGCCTGCAGAGACACCACAGTTTCCGTCTTTGGTTTATTTGGGAAAGATAATTGATCGTATCCTAAACACACAATAATGTCCGTGTTGCGTGAGAAACCACAATATGTAATAGAGCTAAAGTTGTCGTTTCAAGAATGAATGAACGAGTGAGCAGCAACGCATGGGACCGATGAACACACACTTCCTGGGTCTTCTTCTTCTTCTTCTTCTTCTTCTTCTTGGGTTTGTGGCAGTTGAAGTCATTATTGATGGTACATTACTGCCATCTTCTGTGCATAAGGCGAAACACTACAGTTCAAAATGATACATTTTCAGATTTCAAGTAATTTGCAACTATTATTATAACTAATGTTATAGCATACTTTCATAAAATGTAAAAACAATATTTATAATCATTATTATTTGTCTGTTTTATACCAAGTCTGTCAACTGCAGAGTGGGTATATTTCATCTTTGTTAGCATTTTCCATGTAAAAGTTAGACCAGTCTGTTTATAACTCTCCAAATTGAATCACATCTTGGTGGAAAGCTTGTTTTCTACAGCATACTGTTAGCTAGTCCATATATAGCCAATATGCTAAGTGTGTTGTTAGTTACTGCATTGAATAGTTGTTTTCTCAAAATGACATGTTTCCTTGTCCTTCAAGGCAGTTAGATCATCATCCTTAATTTATGTGTCATTTATCTGTAAACATGTAGAAAATAAAGGGTCCAGAGCACTTATGAGTGATATTTTGAATAAATCCACGAAAAACAATTTTTTCATAAACTGTTCTGTAATTGTCTGGCCATTTGGTATATAACCACAATAATATCCAAATCAGTGCAAATTTAATGAAGAAAGAACTCATTTTCACAATAAAAATGAAAAAAAAACCCATTAAAAATTGTAATTCAAAAAAGCTTCTATGTATGTACTTTCTGCTTGTAAAGTTTCAATGTGATATGAGTAAAGGGGGAAAGCCTTTTTGATTGTGGTTTCTTGCCTTAATTGAGTTATTTAATTTGATTCTGTCAAAAACAACATACACATAATACACGTGTGCAACTGTTCACAAAAAAGCACCATAGATTCAAACCTAGACACCTGAAGACAAAAGATAAAATAAAACAGTTCTATATATATACTGCAACACAAACAAGGCTTATGCATAAAATTGAAGCATGACACATAAAAACAATAAAAACTTAAATAGCTTATTTTCATGTGGTGCTTGCCTGCCCCAAATCAAAACAACAAATATTGCTCAGAGTCAATTTGTCTCCTTTTTTAAAAGAAACAGTAACCTTGTTATCCACCAAAATCAAACCATCTTCTGCTTGTCCACAACCCCTTTAACACCATTTAGAGGCTTTCTTGCTCCGTGTTCCATGTTTTCTTCTTCCTTTTGATAACGTTAATTTTACGATATTAACTTTCACACAGCTTACAAGGGCCTTGCCAACATGACATCTCTTCCATACCTTGTACCCAGAAAAATAAGACTCTCTGTCCCATCCAGAGACAATTTAGAAATGGGCAGTGATCTTGAGTTGTGGTGTTTTTCCTGTCTAATTTTATAGTAGTTCAGTCACTGGTTTTCACCATAGACTCCATGTAAGGATGATCTTCACCAAGAAATGAAGCTGTGTCTTCGAAAACAGAGTTGTATCTCCTCAGAATACATTCAGTTTAAAAATAGGAACACCGGAAAGCATCAACCTTGTTTAAAACTATTTCCAATTTGACCTTATATATAAATATTACCAGACTTGCCTACTTGGGCGGCTGTGGCTCAGGAGGTAGTGCAGGTTGGCTGTTAAACGGAAGGTTGGTGGTTCAATCCTGGCTCCCCCAGGCTGCATGTCAAAGTGTCCTTGGGCAAGATACTGAACCCCAAATTCCCCCTGGTGGCTGTTCTGCCAGTGTGTGAATGGTGAATGCAGATGTAGTGTAAAAGTGGTTGAAAAGACTAGAAAGGCGCTATACAAGTACGTAACATTTACTCAACATAGTACTTTGTATTAACTTGTCAAACAACATGAATGACCACAAAAATTATTTCATTTTGTTGGAATACAATTCATTTAAGCAACAGTTTTCTCTGGCATAACGTCAGACATTTCCCTGACGTTAGATGGCACTACAGTTAATTCTTCTTTTCACTGTTTATTAAGACACTTTTTACATTCTAGGTTATGTTTTTGTTTTCACTGATACAATTGATCATATCTCAAAAATGTGGTATAAGACCATGTCCAAGACCATGGGAATGGCAATGTTGAGTCCTCTCTTTAAGAGTACATGAAAGATTGAAAGGAAAATTCCCCTCATTCTGAGTGAACACTTTGGACATGATCATCTCCTTCAATGTGCCGCTCCTATTTGGTTATTCCTCAAATGTAATTTCCATCTTCTGTCTTGCCCACTGTCACTGCTATTTTTACTGCAGCTGGTATCCTTATTATCATGCAGGGTATAATGTTTCTTACCATTTTCTTCTTCGTCCTTATATTGACAAGCAGGACACCTGCTAAGCAAATGACACACATGACAGACTAAAGAATTAGAAAAGGTCAGGAGGGAGGAGTTGAAGACATTTTAAAACCTTTAATCTTTTAATATGTAGTTTATAGTGACCTTTTTTTTCTTTTTTACCCATTTCCTTGTCCCTTTAGTCATTTTCTCCTCCATGAGCCTCTGACAAAGCAAAAGTAGGCTATCAATGAAGTAATATAGTCAAGGGCAAATATTTCATGTCACTGTTGGTGGGGACAATAAAAACAAAAAAGGCTTCCAGAGGGAGACTTAAAATATGCATTGGATTTGTAGTACAGAACAAAAGCTGTTAACTATTTGTGTACCAAATATAGTTGACTAGATGCTGATTTTTCAATTTAATTGTTTTAATAAAAAATTATTGTTAGGGACAATTCAGTAGTCACTGGATATTGGTAGAGACATGTCCCCTACAAAACTTTACGCCCTTAGCTACAGTAGTTACATGTTTGAGTGTTGTAGAACAGGTGTGTGACCCTTAAAATGAAGCAGTGTCTACCTGTGACCCATTGTTTTATTTAAATGATTTTTAGAGGTCTTAACAGGTAAAATCATCCAGTAATTCACAAGAGCTTTGTATCAATAAATCATAAAATCAAGTCACCAATATAGCTCCCAACTACTCACGGACATTCTACCAGAAACATACAATTCCACTTCTAAATATCTTGGTGAAAAATAGAACATTGAGTCATATGGGAGACACTTTAAACTATGGGAAATGCATATCGTGCCATCTCACCATGTTTTTATTTTTTAATAAAATACATTTTCGTTTCACACCTAAATTGTCAGGCCCTGTCACAGACAAATTTGTATACGTTAGAATGGTTTTCTAATGAATTAGTTTGACACAAATAGTATTTTCTTATTGATTACATGTCCCTGATTGTATCTAACATGGGATTAGAATTTTTACAAGAAATATAAGCAATTTTTCTGTCAAATGTAGTGAATGGAAAGTCCAGAATAACCGCCAGTCACTTATATAGTTGTAAAGAAAAATACTTTAACACAGGATATTTTACAAACACATAATGGTGGGTATGTTCCACCACCTTCATCTACACAGTTAAAAAAAAAATATTAATCAATATTATGACTTTTTTTTAAATCATAATATTTAATGTGACGGGACTGACTGTGGCGTGACAGGGCTGACGGTGTTGTGACAGGACTGACATGCAGGACAAGATATATTTGTGTATTGGGAAACATTCCTATTTTAATTTCTTATTATGATTTTAATGTTAATTTAAGATTAGACTAATTCAGTTATGTTCAGCCAGTGACATATAATAATGACCAAATTCATACAAAAAATGAATGACAACTGAACATATTTTCAATTCAATAGATTTAGTTATTCAGTTAACAAAACAATTGTTTACCACAAGTGCTTTCAATCATTTCACATGATCTTAATAATACAAATACTGTAGGCTTTACCAGCTAAAGATTTTAAAATTATACATTTAGGATGAAAATTAACAGTTACATTTAAAAATTTGAACATTTGAACATCCATAATTCTTTGACAACTGGCGAAATCAATCTGCTGATGAAGATCATATGATCAAAAGCATTATAACAGATACGTTGAGGTGAGATTGTTTTGTCAACCTAAACTAACAAGTTATAACACTAAGCCAAAGTAAAGTATATGTGGGTCAAAGTTGTCCTGTAAGTGTCCTGGCTCTTGTATTCTGGACTAAATATCATTCAAAACTTTTGTCTATGAGCATAAAAAGCTTCAAATTTATAATGTAATTTCTATTTATTCAAAAGATTTTTGACTATGTTACTAATGACAGAACTCACCCTCTATGCATTTTAGCGTCACCTAGGTCAAATTAAGTCAATTCCACTGAGTCATAACCTTAAAGGCTTATTGCACACTATTTATATACTGTTTTATGTAAACATGACAGGACAAAAACATGGGGACAGTCATAAAATACTATTTATTTATAAAACGTATGTATAATTTCATGTTTTTAATCAATTGATGTTAATGATAGCAACTTAGCAAAACAAAACTATGAAAGATTTAGCTCTAATTTGGCTGAGGACAGTCCAATTTTCAGGATTTGTAGTTTTCAAAAGTATTTTTAATAAAGAAAAAAACATCTGAGACCCTAATGAATAACATATTCCTTTAAAGAACAACTCACGGAAATCAACCATCTAGTCAGTTTTAGACATTTCTGGATTATGCAAGTTTTATGTACTGTAACAACTCCAGGACAGATAATGTATGTTTCTGGTAGAATGTCCCTTAAAATGATACCATCACCCCTCTTGCTTCCACTGAAGTCCATTTATTATCCTACTGAGAAATCTCACAAACATATTCTCTTATTGTCTTTTTGATGGCTTTACACCTGGGACTTGAAAACTGCTTAACTGATTAACTTCAGTCAGAGAACTATTCTGCCAGCCAGTTTTTATTGCTGTTCATAATGACTGTGGTGACATGGCAGCAGTACTATTTTCCCTGGGAACCTGTAACTTGAAGAAAGGATGACAACTTTTATCTTGTAAGTCTCAAACACTTAGTAATAACATATAAGGGATGAAAGGGTTTTGAAAAGGTGCTGCTTTGTCTGTCTGTTGTCATCATACATGGAAGCAAGCACGAGTTCTCA